ACATCCTTGTCTCTAAATTGGAGAGACATCAATTTGATGGATGGAGCACTCGGTGGATAAAGAACTGGCTGAATGGCCGCACACAAAGAGTTGTGGGCAACGGCTCCATGTCCAGCTGGAGACCTGTAACAAATTGTGTCCCTCAGGGCTTGGTGATAGGATCTGCCTTGTTCAACATCTTTGTCGCTGACATGGACAGTGGGATTGAGTGCGCCCTCAGCAAGTTTGCTTCAGTGTGCGCTCACAGCCCACAAAGTCAACCATATCCTGGGCTGCATCAAAAGGAGCGTGACCAGCAGGTTGAAGGAGGTGATCCTGCCCCTCTACTCTGCTCTCGTGGGACCTCACTTGGAGTATTGTGTGTAGTTCTGGTGTCCTCAACATAAAAAGGACATGGAACTGTTGGAATAAGTCCAGAGGAGGGCCACGAGGATGATCAGGGGACTGGAGCACCTCCCATATGAAGATAGGCTGAGAAAGTTGGGGCTGTTCAGCCTGGAGAAGAGAAGGCTGCATGGAGACCTCCTAGCAGCCTTTCAGTATCTGAAGGGGCCTATAGGGATGTTGGGGAGGGACTCTTCATTAGGGACTGTAGTGACAGGACAAGGGGTAACGGGTTGAAACTTAAACAGGGGAAGTTTAGATTGGATATGAGGAGGAAATCTTTTCCTGTGAGGGTGGTGAGGCATTGGAATGAGTTGCCCATGGAAGTTGTGAATTCTCCATCCCTGGCAGTGTTCAAGGCCAGGCTGGACATAGTTTAGTGTGAGGTGTGCCTGCCTATGGCAGGGGGGTTGGAACTAGATGATTGTGAATTCCTTTGCAACCCAAACTATTCTGTAATTCTATGATTTTATGATCTCTTCTAAAATGGAATTTGAAATTCCATTAGTTTCTCTTCGCAGAAGTCTTGCTATTTCAGTCAGATGTATCCCTTCAGTGCTGATGTTCAGTAGTTTCATAAGAGTCATTTTTGCTCCTTCCTGGATAGAGGGGAGATTTTCAACTGTGTTCTATTTTCCTAAGAGGAAAAGGAGAGAATACTATAAATATTGCCCTTATCATAACTACTGCAGAATTTCTGTGGGGTTGGAATCTAATTAATCATATTAAGTTCCTCAATAAAAATCAAGCATTTTTATATTTTTCCCATATCACAAGCAGTTTTATGAACTTCCAGTTCATAAATGCAAGCTTCATTCAGTCTGAAATTGTAATATTCAATAAAATTTTCCCCTGATAAGAGTCACAAACGTCCTAAATGATTTTTGGTCTGTATTTTACTGTCTATGCTTCCAATTAAATGATCTGTGAATACTGGAAATTACACTGCCTTCCTTTGCCAAAGCACTGAAGTATCAGTAAAGGGTCATCATTTAAACAGCTACAAATTAATCACAAAAGCCAACCTTTAACACATCCATGCAGTGATTTTAATGTGAAATGGTCCCCTTATGCCTCTTAATTTTTCTTTTTCTGAATTGCAGCTGTATTGCATCACAGGACATTAAACATGTTTCAGCTCATGGGACTGAGTCAGTCATGTTTTTAGAAATTGAAAACAAATGTTATATTAGGATGAATGATACTATTTGAAGCAATAACTGTTTCCTAGTAAGCATGCCTATTAAATAGATTGGTTAGGTTTTCAGCTTGTAAACATAACAGTATCTTTCACTAGCTCAAGTGATGTTTGAAAATAGCAACAAAGATGCAAAACAAAAGGGAAGGAAAGCCCATAACAAATTTAGAATTATTTTGTGAAATTATTCTCATTAGCTGAATTATTTTATTAGAAAGTAAATAGGAAATTTTTTTAATGTAACTGTGGCTTATTAGTGAGTATTCAAACTGCATGGCTTATGAGCAGTGTACCAGTACCATGTTAAGTCTGTATGATAGCAGAAGAGAAGGAGAAACAGGGGATAAAGATAGGAGAGTTTCTTGCTCTTGTATAGGAAGCTGTTGGAGTTTGAAGTTTGAAGGCATGTGGGGACAAAGAGGAAGGAAGTTAAAATATTCATAGCACTGGTTCAATTTTTACCTGGAAACCAAAAAGAGTAAAGTCTTAGACACATTATTCATTTATAATTGGCAGAGTTGGAATGTCCTGAACACTTCAAGGTAGTAAAATATCTTGCTGGATAAAATAATCTGTAGAGGAGTTTGTCAGGAGCCAGCTGGATCCAAACGCCTCAATAAATGTAATGTCAGCCCCTCCATCCTTATTGTGATAACATTGGTGCTTAGTAATGTTCTCTGGTCTGGTATCATGATCTTCACCACCTCTGCATAAGCCTGTAAACTACTAATTATATTCTGAAAGAATATCATATACCATTATAAACACAGTTCTGAAACATTAATTCATTAATATATGGTAGGAAAGAGAACCATGTTCTAAACTGCTGAGAACATCTGCACTGTCAAACCTTCACATTTCTCACTAGGCTAGACTAGTTAGGCTCATAAAACTGAATATGAAGAGATATTGTTTGAGGAGTGGTTTAAACATTATATAAACCAGTCTGAGACAAAAATGTGTGCTACTTGTGATTTCTTTTCAATCAGGAAAAAAAAGCAATAGTTGAGTTTTTCTTCATGATTATTACCAACTTTAAGGTCACTCAGGTTTCCTGGAATGCAGAGTTTTTATTATACAGGGCAAATGAATTTCCATTTAGCTAGGATAGCCATCATTTAAATTGTATATTTTCGTTCTCTGCAACTCCCATTGATCAATATCATTGACTGGTAAGTTTTCTTAAGCTTAGAATATCGACTAATTCTTGTCCAAGTGGCACCTAAGAAAGCTGAGATTGATGTATTTGGTCTGGTAGCAGACGTCCTCAGCTGTTTGAAGGGGATCTGCTTCTAGGAAGAGAAACTGGTGGCAAGACTACATAATTAACAATAAGTAAATATGGAATCATAGAAACCAAACTTAGATATTGTGAGACTAAAACATCTTTCTGCTCTGTACTTATTTTTGACGTGGTTGTAAGTAAATGCAGTTTGCTTGTAACTGGCAAACACTCTTAAAAGAATCATGCAAGAAATAAAGGTTAGCCTTAATTACTGATTTCAGAATGGACCAATGATTTTTAATATCTCAGGAAGATAAGAAACAGTGAGAAGATCTTGGGATTTATATAATTGCTGTCTAGGAGCTAGGTTGTTTCTTTCTATCCCTTTCTAACAAATGGCAGGTTTTGGTGTTCTTGAATATCCTTAGCTTGGATAGTATCAGTATGTTGACAGTTTGAACATTTATAGTTTATACAGTTGCTATACTTTCATGTACTGCATTTTATGCCATTAACTAAAAACAGCATTTAGAAGACCAGAAACTATGATCTATTGTCACAGACATGATGTGATCCCAATATAAAAATGATCTACAAAAACCTTTGTATTTGACAGTTGTTCTTTATATAGCTGCATGTATACTAATAGTTGTAACAAAACTTGATAAAATTCAGTCATGTACTTGTAAAAAGACAATCATGCATCTGAAGCCTTGATTCAATAGTTAAGTCCAAACAGCTCCATAAAAGAATCTTGTAGATATATTTGCATATTCAGACCTTCAGCATATTTTCTCAGCTTCTGTATTCTTTTTCATATTCCTTCTACATCATTCCCATTCAGTTATGCCAAATGTGTAATAACAGGTCATGTGTAACTAACAGTAATCACATAAAGGTGAGAACTGTAAGTCTCTTTTTCCTTTCCTGATTGCATAACATTGTCCTCAGGAGTTACTAAAGGTAGCCCATGCAAGCAACAGACAATACCTTAAAGACAGGGAGGAAATGACTGAAAATTTTTTAATGTCTGACACATTTTGAGAGCATGTATCATAAAAATAAACTGCTGCTAAGAAGGTCTGTTACTGAGACAGGCTTAATTCTCTTCGATCCAACTGAATATTTCATCATCAAGGTTTATTCCTGTGCCAAGCTCATGACAGCTGACCCATGTCTTCTTCTATCCTCAAGTCCTACAAGGAGGGGAAAGCAACTTTCTTGCTCAGAGTTGTTCCTGAGGAGTGTCCTACTGTTCAGAAAGCTAAGAAGTAGTAGTTTCTCTGGCCTCAAGAGGATTGATGTGACTTCACTCACCTCCTGTCTGAAACCACCGACTGACCTAACTCAGAACCTGTGAGGAAGCACTAACTTTGTCTGAAAAATACTACTCACCCAGTCTGGACATTAATTCAATGCTGTGATTCCAAGCTTTGTCTTTGAGCATATTTTAGCCCTTTTATAATCTGTCCTTTGAAATAAGGTAATGACTGAGTATCCTGGTTCGGGTTCTAGCAATTCTAGATCTTTCTTACATTTTCCTAGAGATGCAAGACAGACGTTGAAGTGGCCAGCTGGGAATTTCCCCAGCCTACAGCTAGCATAGCTAAGTAGTCATGTCTTTGCATTGCAAAGAGTAACAGTATGGCCGGGCTAAGTGAAGGCGCAGAGGACAGAACAAACGGTGAATAGTTGGAGACTGACAGAGTTGGGAGACGGATACAAAGTTTAAAGTACCATAGAAATATGTAAGACTCCATTTCTGTAACATTATTGTTGGTCAATCAGTTTACTTCTGTAAACAGACTAGCAACAACAGCATGTTTAATGAGTTACAAATCATGCTATAAATAAAGCTTGAATTCTTAGAGGATTCATCATCACAGTAATTTCTATTTTTAAGAACATATGTTTCTAGAACATGTTGCAATGTGTTTATATATTAAGCCTGAAACTGCAAGATGCAAAGGTCTAGTATAAAAGCATTCCACGTTCTCAACTGCTTATAATGGGTGCTAAAGGAGTTTACTTATTTCAGGGTGACAACCTCTTTCATAAGAACTGATGTTCGCATTCAGAAAAATGTGCTGTTCAAATCAGTGTTACAAAACTTTAAAATTTTAATGCCATAATAGTAAACACAATGCATGAAATAGTTCTTCATATTTTTCCTCCTGTGTTCATTTCTTTTAGTGCTGGAGTCGGCAGGACTGGCTGTTTCATTGTGATAGATGCCATGTTAGAGAGAATAAAGCATGAAAAGACTGTAGATATTTATGGCCACGTAACTCTAATGAGAGCGCAGAGGAATTACATGGTTCAAACTGAGGACCAATACATCTTTATCCACGATGCACTGCTAGAAGCAGTGACATGTGGAAATACCGAAGTGCCAGCCAGAAACCTGTATGCATATATCCAGAAGCTGACACAGATAGAAACAGGCGAGAATGTCACAGGAATGGAACTGGAATTTAAGGTACTGGGATTTTATATTGTGGGAAGCCAAACCAAATGGTATAACACTTAATGCTGCTCTGTCCTCCACCAGTTGTTTCCAGTAATCAAAATATAACACATCAGCAGGATAAAATCTTACATTAGGGAGACAATCCCTTGTGAAATGTACAGCTCAATCCCGTGTCCAGACAAGAGCCATTCATTGAGGGTGGTTTAACCCTGCTGTTCCTTCATTGTTTGTATAGCTTGAAATGTGTGTTTGTGTAACAGTTTAATACTCAGATTTGGCAATATGTATTAACGGAGAAGACATTAAACTTTTATAAGGTGTTAAAAGAAGCTTTGCAAATATTTAGGTAATGCAATAGAACATGGAAAAATAAGCGTCTGAAATTATTCATTAATGGATATTAGCAGACATCATGAAATGTGATAGTGTCATTTGTTTTTGTTATACCCGTCCTTAATTATTTTACTTTATTTTCAACAGCGTCTTGCTAGCTCTAAGGCTCACACTTCAAGATTCATCAGTGCCAATCTTCCATGTAATAAATTCAAAAATCGCCTTGTCAATATTATGCCATATGAGTCTACAAGGGTATGCTTGCAACCAATCCGAGGAGTAGAAGGCTCTGACTATATTAATGCCAGTTTCATTGATGGATACAGGTATTAATGTTGATGTGTTCTCTGTTCGCTGTTTTAAAAGTTTACAAATTATATATCTAATTTTATTGAAAATAACAAAATCTAGCATTGAAATTTATTTTTTATTATCTATGCATGCCATGGTTGACTGGGAGGTTTTTTAAATATTAATGAAAGGTTTAGATTTTCACCCATACAATACAGGAAAATTCTGTAAATATCATAGTGTCTTAAACACTATATTTTTACCTACCTTTAAACCATTGAGAGCTCCCAATATGTTTTGCATGCCGAACTTTACTGAGATTTTAAGTACATTCATGATTTGTAACATCTGTATTTTCACTGCTATTGGTTTAAAAAGATACATAGATATAGCGCATAGGATATACACTCTTTGTGTCAAGGTGATAACCTGTGAACTTGGAACACTGATTAAGACTAGACCTAGATGCCGAAAGCATTTTGTACATAAACAGTTGCATAGCCTAGCAGCACCAAGCAATATACCCTTAGCTGACTTATGCAGCAGCTAGAAAAAGGCATGAAAGAGGAGCAGTTTAGTTTCCATAAGGCCGTTTAGGTGTACCTGAGTATCTGCAGAGGTCATTTACTGAGCCTCAGGTCATAATTGGAAACAACCTTCATCGTCACTGTTGCCTACAGAGGTGTTTCTGTTGTTTGAAAGAAGCAAGACAACATAAAGTGGTCATCTTATAAAGCTGCTGATCCAGAAGCTTTTAAGAACTTGGTGGTAGCTTCTACTAGTAGGATATTTAGGCCTGGAAATGCAGTGCACTCCATTCCTGAACTTCCTTCCTTACTTTTGCTGGAGGCATCAGACTGTTGAAAAGGAGTTCATAAAGAAACTGTATGATGCTATAATTCCAAAAATTAATAGATTGTTAAACAGTTATTTCTACAAAATGAACCAACAAAACTAAGTGTTTAAGTGCTTTTTACAGCACACAAAATTGGGCTATTAGGGTTGCAATAAAATTTAAATAATAATGATAAAGACATATATCATAATACAGTAATTTCCCTCTTGAAGTTCTAAAAATAAAAAGCCACAGTTTGATTAAACAATCATAACAAGATTTTAATGTACTTATTTTTAATAGTATATAAATTTTTCCTCTAGATAATGTTTACATATAAACAGAATATGTGTATCAGTTCACTTTTTTGATTAATTTTTTTTTTTTTTTTAACATAGACAACAAAAAGCTTATATAGCTACACAGGGTCCCTTAGCAGAAACAACTGAAGACTTTTGGAGAATGCTCTGGGAGCATAATTCTACAATTGTGGTCATGCTCACTAAGCTACGAGAAATGGGCAGAGTGAGTAGTTCTGTAATATTCCTTTCCTACAATGTTATATTGATTTTTTATTAAAATATTTCTTTGTTGTTTGTCTGAAGAGAAAGGTGAGGATTTAGGTTCCTTCTTTTTAAGTATCGGTGGCATTGGTTGGTCACCAGATGTAAGGTTTTCCAATTTGTAGATGTATTGAAATACTAGACAAGGCATTTTGTTGTGGGGTACACTGAGATTCAGCAGCTGAGTTTGCATGTTGATATTCATGGTATGCAGAGAGCATTGCTGTCTATTTAAAACCACAGATTTCTTACTTGTAAACTCCACTTTTGCAGTGTCTGTTTAACAATGGTAGAAGAAAGTGTAGTACTTTCAAGATCTGAATATCTTCTGTGTGTTCATAGCACTAAACTTTAAAGTTTCAGCATCCAGTTTACAGTCCTAAACTCATTCAAGTGCTGCATTATGTAATGGAGAGAACGAAGCAGTTTACTATCTGGACAGGATTACATCAAGATGAAGCCATATGTGATAAGTGAAATCTGAGTCAGGCCATGTATCAAGGGAATAGAGACGATTCACGACAAGGCTAGTAGTTGCAGAAATAGTCCTGACTGAGGACAGGAAGACTTGCTTCAACAGGGAAGAAGAAAGAAAACTGAAGATGGCCTCAAGATTTAAATGCCATTCTGTATGGAAAATCAGGCTAGGGGTAGCCCTTGTCAGTGATAAATAATGGAACTGAGGAGAAGTATAAACAAGTTCAGGTATACAGTCATCAGAGAGATCAAATTTATTCTAGGTATGGATCTTTATGTTCACAGTAAGACAAAATTCATGTTCCTGTCACTAATGGCTCTTTCCACGAGTATTACACTTCTCTCAGTAAAAAAGGGTTTATCCCAGTTTATAGTAGTGGTCTCAAACAACAGGAAATGTATTTTGCTTCCTTATTTTGTAGGAAAAATGCCACCAGTACTGGCCTGCAGAGCGCTCAGCCAGATATCAGTATTTTGTGGTAGATCCAATGGCAGAGTACAACATGCCACAGTATATTCTGAGGGAATTCAAGGTTACAGATGCAAGGGTAAGTTAACAGAGCATTACACTAGTTCACAGAAGTTTAAAAGATAATGTCAAGCTCTCTCTTTTCCTCTCCCTTTCTTTTTATAATTATTATTAGAAAAACTCTAGGGGTGTACTTTCTACAAGATTGTGTAAGAACAACTGACTTCATTCAGATCTAACATCTAGGCAGCACATCTTTGTAGAGTCCTGAATAACTATTTATGCCAAAATGCATTAGATGATTTGAGGACCATTTTGCTTTTTTCCTTATTTTTCCTTTGATCCTTTTGGGGGCAACTTTTTGTCCCTTACAGCTGTAAAAATGTTGTTTTGCACCACCCTCTTGTCTGAGTGAGTATGAAGGTTAATACGCTGAGATTTAAAAACTGCACAGCAAATAGCATTTGTAAGAAAAGCTTGACAAGCTCTGCACATTATAATTTGATTTTTGGCATAGCATATTTTCAACACTCATGTATATCTGCAGACTAGATATGTGCAGCTGTGACCCTAGCATCCTCATTTTCATACTGTATTTCTTACCCGAATTCTTGAGTTCAAAACTGAGAACTTATCTAAGATTAAATATACATAAATTTTAAATATATATCTGGCATTTCTCAGATTTGTGGTTTGTAGGACTTTACTGACAGCCTCCATTTCTGTAAAAGCTGTAGAATACTATTTATTCAAGTAAAATAGCAGGATGTACTGTCCAGGAATGAGTGATTACTAGGAGTTGCCAGCCAGCATCCGCAACAGTAGACTTTCTCATAGTTAGCTAGACTGCTGCTTTTAATGTAAGCTTCAAGTAAAATTAGGTACTACCGACAATTAATTAGACAGTATAGTCAGTAACTGAGTCAGCACATAAAAAATTTATTTTAGCAAATGCTACATAGGTGAGTGTTTTTTGGAAGAAACTGTAGACAAACTTCATCTGACTTTCATTCTGTCTGAAGTCTAAGTAAGGATCACATGATCCTTATATCACTTACACCTTCTCTAACCTTAACCTATTTGTACTTAACAAAAATGGAGGTCAGCCACCTCCTAAGATCAGCCTTTAGACACACTTGTAAGCATAGGCAGTGAAAGCCAATTCCACGACAACTGTGCTGACAAGTTTTCATTGATCATTTATAAAAAATCTGTTCCATCTCAAGCTGGCAGAGCTCTTACGTGACATAGTTCACCAAGCTCAGATCACAAAATAACAATGATAACAAAAAGGTACAGATGTAGTTGAAGTATCTCCAAACAGTATGTATTTCCAAAAAGCTCTTTCAAGAGTTTATAGAACTAGGGTATTTACAAAAGTCTGTTTACTTATAGCTAGAAAACCAGTAAAAATTCTTAAAGAGTCAAATAACTTAATTTGCCAGAAATCATTTTTTTTGGACCTGATATTAGTACACTTACTTCAAAAAGCAAACATCCACCTTGGCAGTGGCTATTGTGGAGTTTTGCCATCACATATAATTGCTTCTCAAATCTTAAAAATGTCTTTACATTCATGGGCCAAATTTAGTTAAACAATGCACTGGCAAGCTAACAGGGCCATCTTACATTTTTTAGATGTGCTGGAAAACTATAACTCCTCCCAAATTTAATCGAAGCAGTGGCTACTACTTACCAAAATGTACTTTATAGTTTTGTTGTAGTTAGGCTTTTATGTCTGTTACACCCAGTAACTGAAGCCATCTAGCTAAATTGTTGCATTATTGAGTAAATGCTGCAGTGGTTACAGCCAGCCTCTCCCCTGCTATCTCAAAAACCATCCATAATGTTAGAATACCAGCCATGTTCTGGCCAAGCCAAGCAGGGAAATTATTCACCAGGGACAAGAAAAGAAGTACACTGCCTTTGAGGTGTCAGCAGCAAGTTTTGGTGTGGAGCTCTCTGTTGTTTCCGAAACAAAGCTGTGAATTTCTGTAAGGTGAAACTGACCTCTGTAACTGTTTCTATGGCTTCTGACTGCTTTACACTCACTTTCTCTGTAAATTCCAAGGTCAGTATGTTGGAGCAGTCTCATTTAAAGCTAAAATGTTAATAATAACTGTTATTATAAATTCTACATCCTCATCAAAAGACAATTGAATATCCTTTGTGCAGAGCAAGAAGAACTCCAAATCATCAGCCAATCAATAGGATGATACATTAAAAGCACTCTGCTCCACAGGGAATCTCAAAGTTCAAGTTTTCATAACTAACTGTGCAAACTGTCACAAGTAAAGATTTTAACAAAATTTGGCATTTGTATTTGGACTGCTATTAGCAAGCATTTCATTAAAAGAAAGGAGCGCTGTTTATAATGTCAATGGCAAAGGGAACTGTGTAAGAAATTGCAGATCAGTTCCCAGTATGTTTTTATGGTACTCTACCATTAGACTAAGTTTACTTCTGCGCTCATTAAATTGCATTAAATAACAGAAAACATTGCCATTGAAACTAGATCAGAACAGTTTTCACAGACTTGCACTGGACTTATGATCATGAAATATACCAACACAATTGATATAGACACACCTCAAAAATAAATATTTACCATCAAATCTATTTTGCACATAGAAATTTGTGGTCTTCCCAATGACAGTGTAGACTTAGTAAAGCAGCATCTTTCTTATATTTTCTATCTCTCAGAAGTTACTGTTATTCTAGCATAATTCCTGTCAGGGTCAGAACTTGCTGAAGAGTTTCTGTCTCCTTAACCAGCATGTTGAACTGAGTCAGTTTTAAGGTTTTCTTTACTTCAGAAGAATGTGAGGTTATTTTGAAGGGAAACAACCTATTGTTTTGTCTTACTGATTAATCAATGTCATGCCTAAGGCCATCTGAAAGATGCAGTTTCATTCTGTCTTCTTTGGGAAAATGGGATCACAGGCACCATTTTGAGAGAAGTCTGCATTAACAAAATGCCATTTTCAGAGAAAATATTTAGTTCTTTTTCTTGATGCCCACAAGAAATAAAATTGGGTAAATATTTTCAAACAGATTTATTTATTTAATTAATCATTTTTTTAAGTGGGCAAAAACGTTCCACAGAAATAGACTGCTAAATTGTAGCAGCAGTCTAGTGAGAATATAAGAGATAGTAAGTTCAAGAAATAAGTCAGAGAAGTGTATATGTGTCCTCTTACGGAGCAGTGGCTGGCGCACATACACGTATTTTCTGTTTTCCTTACTCATCTGAGACATGGGAGGCAAAAACCCACAATACCAGAGAAAACATAAAAGCTTTGGCTATATTTAAAATCACTTCTATTTCCTTTCAAAGGTCTGTAATTACTAAGTGCTTGTGGTGGAGGAAAAATTAAAAAGAAAATAGTTATTTGCCTACACCATAACTTGTTGCTTTTTGGGTGGATCTCCTGTAATAATTTCATTTTTTCAAGAGCTTCATTTAGACCATTTTGAAGCCATGGCAAGATAGGTGCTTAGGAAACATGTCCAGAGGCACAAATTCACATCAGTAGCTCATATGCTCCTGCTTTTATGCCCATGCTTTTAATTTTAGGTATGCAGTTTGACAGTGTCGAAATCATCAAGAACAAAGCTTGAAAATTCAGACCAAATTTACTTAATCCATTGGTACTTTATTTTCTCTATTTATGTGTCCTGACCATTTATATATTCAATAGCATACAGCAGAAGTTGGCATTTAATACTTCCAATGCCTTCATTATGGAAATAACCATGCTGCAGTGTCCTGCAGTTTTAAACAGTCTTTTTAGTATTCCTAACCAAAGGGAATTAACAGCTTCAGCCAACTTGTTTTGAGAGAGGAAGGCCTTCTTCTGATTTTGTACTGAGTCCAAGCTGTTAGTGCATGAAATTACAATGACTGAGGGGAAGTGGATGCTTTTATAAACAGCTGGCTTGTCTTGAACCATCTTATTCACAGGTTATGTCCACCTCATAGAAAGTACCATGCTACTAAAGATATCATCTGCAGGGGGCAGTTGCTAAATGAGTCTCATAAGTCTCATGCCTGCCATGCACTAAATGGGCATACATAGGGAATGGAGAGTCAGATTGGAGGCCTTATTCTACGTATCCTTGCAGTGTATAGGAATCAAAACATAACTTACTAAAAACATCATATAACCTGATGGGATGTCTTTAGTCTCAGACATGCTTTTTAAGCAGGAAGAATGTCAGGCAACTCTCCTATCCAGTGCAGAAGGGAATCAATGCAATATTGTTACGGAAGCTGCACTTCTGGACCAATGTGTCCAAAGCACAAGCCAGTACTGTGATTAAAAGAGTCTTCATAAATGTGATCTTAGCCATTTCCACCTCTTTTCAATGACCTTTGCTTGTGATTGTCTTTTGGTTGTTGGCTGACTGACTTTCAGCCCTGGAACATAGTTTTGGGGTAAATTACTTGTGTCTTTTGTTAAAGGATGGCCAGTCCCGAACAGTGAGGCAGTTCCAGTTCACTGACTGGCCAGAACAAGGAGTGCCAAAGTCTGGAGAAGGATTTATTGACTTCATAGGCCAAGTTCATAAGACAAAAGAGCAATTTGGTCAGGATGGACCAATTTCTGTTCATTGCAGGTAAGTAAACAAAGCCTCAAAACAACTCATCTGCAGATTTATTTTTTTTCTAATTTGATTGCTGATTGATTTATAGTTGTACATGTAAATAGAATTTCATAGTGAACCATCAGAAAATGCAATCAAATAGGTATATAAAGGAACACATAGGACCGCTTTGCAAAACAGGAACTGTTCTGTGATATTCAATTTATACACAAAAGATTCTTCTAAAACATATGAAAGCACATAATTTTTTCTTCACTTAAAATAGTCTCTAGTGAAAGGCATAAACAACCTGGTCAATGCATCACACAGAAAGCAGTAGAAGAGCGTTATCACATGCTTCTGTATTTGATTTTATTTTTTTTTATTTAAAGTAAAGCTGTTGTATTGGTGGGAATTACTACCTGTAAACAAGCTAGTTTCACTTCAGTAGAACATTCATAGCAACAAAGATGAAACAAATAAAAATGGTAGCTTGCTCAAGAAAGGGAATGGAATAGAAAGCACTGTTTAGAGGCATTTCCTATAAAAAAATCACTGAGACTTGTATTGGTGAGCTCTAACTTCAGAATGTAATGCCAGTTTTTTGATACAATGACTTCCCTTAATTCCTTTGCAGTTGATATGCAGATGAAAAACAGCTTGCAGGGTGTGTAATCCAGGGTGGGCCTTTTTAATATTCTTGTAATTTAATTTTTTTCTCTACAGTAATCAGTCTATAGCAGATGGCCAAAAATAATATCTTTATCATCTCTTATTTAATAAATTCTTTTCTATAAATTCCATTAGGAAATTAGTTACTCATTTTTGTAACACTGAATTATTTTTGGCAAACGAAATCTTTTTTATTTATATAACAGAGATGCAATATACTGATACAGATTCCAATTTCTTCCTGCAAGCCAAGTAATGACCCAGTACTTCACATGAAGACAAAATGAACAAGTTTGCTAGAGCATGTGAATGTACAGAGGGAGAGGGATTCTTGTCCTTCCAAAGCTAGGAACAACCAGAAACTGTTTAAAACACAAGTGTATTTTGAGAAAGTTCCATATGCCCCCTAATCTGAAAGACTGACAAAAGAATGTATGTTGGTCCACTTGAATCCTATTTTTTTGCATGTACCTAAAAATTTTTATGGCCTGCTAAGGAGAACAGCATTGCAGAGCAGTGTTTGGGATTCATTTAGCAAGGGAAAATGAAGGACAACTGTGACAAGAGCAAGCCTTATTCTTCCTGGCATTAATGAGTTTTGAGAGCAGAGGAGTAATAAGCAATATTTATGCCTTTATGCAGGTATACGTAAGAAGGCAAAGTGATGGTATTCTTCCAAGTTCTTTGTACCATGCAAACTTGTCCACTTGTGACTGCACTGAAATACTGCTTTCAGTAGATTATACCTCGCTTTCAAATGGGTGTGATCTTTCATGCTGAAATTATGGAGACTTCTGACATTGACTTTGGTAGAAACAAAGTCAAATCCAGTATAATTTATCATGGTTTGGTGTTTAAATGTCTTATCAGCATTGTAATGACAATATAGAGATTGGTGATATGAATTAACTTTCTTAATGTTAGTCAAATAAATAGGATATGTCCCTAGTAAATTAGTAAGTTTTTTTTCTTTCAGGAAGCATAAGATCCTGGGTACCTGCACTTCCTAATCTTTGTGGAATTACAGTAATAATGTCTTCAGTTTGTGCCATGATGAATTTTTAAGAACTTTTCCTGTACAGAGAAATTCTTCAAATTCCAAACTCCCCTAGTTCCACTTTCCTGTGGTTTCCTTCACGCTCTACACATTTTTTACAAATTTCCATTGTGTTACACCCCTGCCACCCACAATTATAAAATGTTCTCCTTTTCTGTCATTTTTACAAATAGATCAGTGCATCACAATTTAAAAATATCTAACTTCATCAGACAGTTAATTAAAAAATAGGTAAAAGAGCATTTACCTTGAAGCAAAATTTTCACTTCAACCAATTTTGGATATTTATAGTCTTTTTAATTCCAGCTTTTAACTGGTAAGAAAGACCACCCTTTCCCAGCATGTGTTCAAGATTACTTTTTAACAATAAACTTTTCTCTCTTATAAAACCATCAGTACTTCCTTATGGCTCATTAAAGCGTCCTAGCTTTGGTTTCTAGCTGTTTAAACGTCAGTGATTCGTACTATAACATGAAATATAGGGCCTTCAGCACTTTCTGATTTCACGACCTTTAAAACCTATGTTGCATTGTTTGTTAAATGTTGTGGTAGAACTCAGTTTGGTCTTTGGCTTGGAAATCAGCTCATCATTTTGCTGTTAGTGATGTGGACTTCTATCACTCTTCAGAAATCCTAAGCATCTTCTAATAGGAATTTGTACAATGCTAAAGTATGCTTGCCACTTTCAGGGGAACTGGGTCAATTTCCTACAGACTTTATCAAAATACTACATTTGATGGATTTGCAAGCACTGAGATCTTTCCATATTTGTCTGCCTTCCTCATTAAGTGGCTTCTCCAGATACTTTCTGATTTCTTATGAACCCAAGACAGCAGAACATTTCCCTCCTTTTGCTGAATTAAAGAGTTTTGTGTAGTCTTTTTTTAAGTAATTAACTAAAGTGTGAGGCTAGAAGTCCTCACACAGATCTAGAAAATGACACCTTTTTTTTATATCTTTTTTATACTATCGAACAGGACAGGAAATGGCAATCTGCTATCACTTGCTAGTTGCTTTCTCAGCTACTTGGCTTAGATCACACTGTTGTCAGGCTTAGACCACACGAAGTCTGGCTAGGTTATAGTGCTGGTTTTTCCAGTATTTGTTTCAGTATGTTTCTTAAACATTAGCTTTCTAATTTACCACATCAGGGAAAGGAGACCTTACACTCCAGTCTTCAGTTCCTCTAGGTGTCCAGAACCACTGTCATCACATATAGGTAAACCAGCATTGTCAGCCTGATATTTTGTCGTATTGTGTCTCAACTGTCCTTTGGCTTCAGCTCTCCAAAGGAAAACAGGTTTTGCAAAACTGCTAAATCTAATCACATAGATTTAATAGCCCTGCAAGTACACTGATCTAGACCAAAAACTAAAATACCATCAGATATTCAGTTTCTGCCCTAGTCTTATGAATTCACTGGATCTCTGTCATCATCCCTGTCAATGTTCAGAGTTCTTCAGTCTTTCCAAGCTGTTCATGTTCTTCACTAGCCTGTCTGCTGAATAGATCTTACAAATCTCCAGCTTCCCACATCTATCTGACTGGAGAAAAACGTATGAAATTATTAGCATCCGCAGTGAGATGTTGGGGTGCTTAATTTCCAACCATAGAAGTACCAACTTGGGAAATCTTTTTTTCTGTGGATTTACTTGTCTCTTTGTCCAAGAGTTGTCCTCATGAATAAGTAATTGTTTAATTTCAATAACTGATAACTATTGGTGCTATTGATTACAGGAATTTCTATCTGTTCCTGGGGGTATTTAGCTAATAACAGAAACCCAAGCCAGAACAGAACACAAACAAGCCATATATTCAAAGAAGGTATTTCACATTTTTGTAGACAGACACGGTGTACAAAACAGTAATAGAAAGCTACATATCCACACCCCCAGACTTTAATAAAACCTGTGTCTTAAGGGATTTGTGTATTTATTACTTCAATTGTAACGTGTATGAACAATTTCAACATTAATTGAAAATCCATCAACTATTTCTAGCTCAAAGTAGAAGATAAACTAACACACTGAAGATGTGTAAAAGACAGCATATATGTGAATGAGCTAAAGTAAAGCAAGTAAAATACATTTTGGCTTCTTTTACTTTTGTCAGTTCCAGCTTAAATTATTGGCAACAAACATTATTATTTTCCTTCACCATGACTGATTGCTATATATCTAGATGAATAAACTAAGTCACTTTGCAATGAAGACTGGAGACTCAGGAAGTACTTAGTAGCATGTGAAGTTTGCTTGAGCACAGTAATCTTCCAAACGCAGTGTGGTAGTTTGCTGCGCAATTTTGCTTAGTGAGCCTTTCCCCATATAGAAATCTGTACACCTATGGTGTGTTGTAACCACTAATAATTTGACAGCCAAGCAGACAATTCTTTCAGCATTAACTATCAATTAACATTCCTTTTTTCCTTTTTTTTTCTTTTTTTCCTTCTTTTATTGCAACAGCGCGGGTGTTGGAAGGACTGGAGTATTCATAACCCTGAGCATTGTGTTAGAAAGAATGAGATATGAAGGTGTTGTAGACATCTTCCAGACTGTCAAAATGTTAAGGACACAGCGGCCAGCCATGGTACAGACAGAGGTGAGCAAAATGGTATCCATACACAGTGTTGATGAAAAAGAGGGGATATTTCCACAGCCAAAGAATGCACACATAAGAGACTGTATAATATGTGCTTACATTTGTATCTTAAGTGACTGTATGACTACAGTCTAAAATCTGCCATAAAGGTACTGCAACAACTATTTCCTGTTAAAGCAGTAGATACTCCAGGCTGTGGAAGAAAAAGATTATGTCAGTAGTGGATCCTAAATTGTGGTAGTTAAGGAAAACAATACTTTTATAAGCTTTACCTATTTTTATTTGAACCTTTGCTTCCTGACAGAAATGGGTGGTAACAAGGAAGGAGGTAAAGTATTTCTGCAGGTGGATCCACTGTTTGGTCTTTTGTTGTGGGAGCAAAGTGATGTTCACAGCTTCAGACTGACACCATTATTTAAATGTTTTTCTTACTTTGTGTCAAGTAAGTGGCTCTTTGGTCTGAAAATTATAATGGTAAACTCAACATTCAGGAAAACCAGTGTAAGTAATTTCTATGCTAACAAGAATGCCTTAGAAAAATAAGGAAAGGATTAAGCAGTATCAACTGATTTTTGGTGCCTGAATGCTTGGAACTGTGTCATGTCATAAAGAATACTTAAACATTTCCAGTTGTGCTTAATGTCTGCTTAAATTTCTGAATAGGAGGCTTGACTTAAGCCAGAGCAAATAGGTTAGGAAACCAAGCAGAAGGACAGGAGAAAGGAAACATTTTAGGTCATACATTAATTAAGTATAATTTGATTGACACTAGCCTTTAGATGACAGTCTGTGAAATCTAAAATGGTTCCCCACATTTTGCCATTTTCTACAAGAAAATTAAGCTTGCTGTATAAAACATGGGTAGTCTTTCAAGAAGGCAGCTTCATAAAATAAAGTATATGAAAAATAAAGATACTTATTTTTAATCTTGTCAGTTAGCCAAGTAAATCACTGTGACCAATCTGAAGAGTTAATTCCATTTCTTTTCAGTTACCATCATTCTTCTTGATAAGCAAAATGAAAAATGACTGCTTTCTGTTAGTTTTGTTCCAAGAAATAGCTACAGTAACAGAAAATCTATGCTACTTGAACCCTACCAGACAGAGTTCAGCTACACAATATATTCTCTCTCCTACTACTTTGACTTACCTGCATATGCTACCTTTCATCCCCCTGCTGAAAATAGAAGTCTTGTGTACTGATTTCTTTCAGGATTCTGTAGAAAACAGGTCTGTCATTCGGTAATATAAACTGCCAGGAAATCTAATCCTTACTAAAACAAAGCACTTAAATTCCACGTGGACCACACATACACATAAAATTTATGCATATATCTAATGCATTCAACATTGTTCCAACAAGAAGCAGAAAAGAACTATTATTGACCGCGTCACTACATTGAAGCAAATATCCAATGTGTTTCATGGTCTCCGAAAGAATTTTAATTATGGTCTTAACAAGTATGACCCTTGCGGAATTACCACATAGCACTTTCAGATAAATAAGCAGGGCTTCCTGATATTTTGGGTGGATTTCAGGGGCAATTTCTTTTCAGTTTTTTTCTTTTTCTCTTTTAATACTTAAACCCTAAACAGCAGTTGAAAATGAGTGCCATTTTAGCATGCAATATTACATAAATGTGCAAAAGGACTGCTGGTGGGGTTGGGAATAGCACAAAATGCTATAAAATAGCACAAAATTCACCAGGGGTGTAAACAAATCTCTTACCACACTGAACTTTTCTCTGCTTCTAGGTGTAGGTTGAAATGCAGTCTGTTTCATGTAAAGAAGGTGTCTTAACTGTGTATTTCTCTCTTAGGCCTTTTATGGCACAGGCTAAGATATCTTCACATGTTCATAAAAGCCTATATTACTGGAAGTTTGGGATTCCATTTGCGTCCCTAACATCATTTTTAACCTGGTGGTTTTCCATACAGCACGCCATTTTAAGGCTGTGATGGATTTTTCCACTTAGTGCATTGTATTTTCTATTCAGTTTTTTGGATATGTTGCTACCTAAATATGTGGGGGAAAAGCATTTTTGCATGCTCCCATAAGAAGAAAGCTTTATGCTGATGTTATATTAATCCAGAAATAACAAAACGGTCAGTATATGGATGTGTAGTCTCTGCACAGAAAGAAGCTGTGTTCTGTGGAAAATGATATTGCATTAAATGGATGTCTGTCTTCACATGGTGTAACTGGCTGGTTTTCTGTTGGTGTCAGCAAGAGAGTATTGTTGAACTGCACAAGCCTCTGTGGTGTATTTGTCTGTAGCAGCGAAGCGTTCACTCTTAGCTGAAAGAAAATAGAAACCAACCAACAAGCTGGCTTTTTGATGCATTTGTTGTCTATCTTTCTTTCTCCAGGATCAATACCAGTTCTGCTATCGAGCCGCACTGGAATATCTGGGCAGCTTTGATCACTATGCAACATAAAAGCCCATCGTGGATTTTTATTGCAGGCCCTTTAAGATCCATAGAGCCGCTTCTGAGCCATACAATGTGCTTTAGAAGTACTTCTAAACTCTTAGCTAAGGAGCAATTTTTGGGGATATAGAAAATTAATTAATTAAAAAATTAAAAAAAAAAAAAAAAAAAAGCGGGGATACTTAAAACAACAACAAAAAAAGCCCAACAACAACAAACTATTCCATGTGGACCAAGAATTCACAGTTTAATAACCTAACCATAATAAAAGAATCCTGACCACTGAGGCGTCTGAAGGATCTCATTTACAGATACCTCAAGGGTTCAACTTTGGTTGAAGTTAAAGGGAAGAGGAAATTAATCAGAAAGAATGATCATCTTGTTCAGGATTTTATGCTGTTGCAAAGAGGAATTTTGAGAACTGCAGTTCAGTGCAAGTCCTGGCTTTTCAAAGAAAGTGGACTCTTTACTTCAACATCACCCCTTCCCATCATACTGCTCATCATAACACTTAGGGAAAATGTGGGAATGTTTAAAAAGAAAGTCCTTGATTTAGTTTTTTAGTATTGTAAAGATACTGCTGACCTGTGCTTCATTTTTAACTGTGTAAACATTTTCCTTTTTTTAACAAGAGTTTATCATTCAATGAAGTGAATTAAAGAAAAGGTTGCATAACTTTTAATCTTTTTGTTTAAAAACTGTAGATTTTTTTTAAGCTGTAGAATTGTAATCTGTAATATTGTGCTGTAGAAATGTTAAACACTTTGAAAATGTGCACATTTTTGTGCAGTCCTATATTTATCTACAGTACTACAGTTTTGTTAGATATTACTTTTACAGTTTTGTTTGTTTTATTTTGCTTTAAGAAAATATTAATTGTAATCAGTTAAATCAAATTGGGGCTTTCTGGTTTCCTTTGGAATCAACAGGGAGGCGCAAAGTATAAAGATGCTGCTAACACACACACACATGCACACACATGCACACCCACACCCTCTCTCTTTATATATATATATATGTATCTATTTCTGCCCACCTTTGTCTAAATCTCTGTGTAGTTACAGAGATACAGAAAGGTAGATATTCACACATATACATTTCAGGTTTTACATACCTAGATTTATCAATGCATTGGGAATTTTTTCCACTATACTGCAATTATATTAAACTACTATTTTATCATCTCTGCATTTCCAAGGTCCATAAACTTCTGTTTCAAAGGGAAGCAAGGAATGCACATCGTTGATATTTGACCATCATCTCTATCTCAAATAATATTTCTATCCACATTGCCACTTGAACACACACACACCCTCATGCACACATGCACATGCACACACACACAAGAGTATGTGATCTAGGCTTCCAGTGAAGTTCAATATTTGTAACACTATAGTGCAATAAGAAATCATATTATAAAATGTAGGAGGTGTGCATGTGGGAAAGGTCAGTGCATATCCCTTTAGGAGCGGAGAATGTTGTAATATACTAGGTATTAAGATGTTTTAAAACTGTATTCAATAGTATCCTGTCTATAGTGTGCACTATATAATTTACATTTATCGTATTTAACAGGGCAAAGCCAAACACATTGCTCTGTGAAATCAGATGTTTTGTGGCATACAGCATTGGTTGGGGATGCTGGGTTTCATTTTAATTTTACATTTAGAGTGCCTTATATTTGATGCCTATTTTGAATAGCATTTCTTTAGGTTAGCCTTCATTTATGTTTAGTTCAGTTTGTTCATATCTTTGTTATTTTTTCAAACATTTTAATACATGTATCAGACAATTTTGAAAAATATGAATTTCCAGTTTCTAATCAAGTATGGATGGTAATAAATGATAACCCAAAACATATAGGTAGTCAAAGCCCTTTATCTTTCCATATTTCCAATAACAGATGAGCCCACAAATTAAAAATACATTTCTCGTTGGCTTTTCAAACACGCTGTGTTGCTGGTTAGAGTGTTATCATTGCAGAGATGCAGCAGTACAATAGCAGTAGTTGACATCAGCAGTGCTTATGATCTTTTGTTGTTTTTTTTTTTGTTGGGTTTTTTTTTTCAATTTTGGGCCAAGTCCTGCTCATTTACTTGGGTCAACAGATTGTTAAAGTCAAGCAATTGCTTTCAGTGGGAGGGTTCACTTAAGGCTACCTAGACTGAGCCCACAGAATATTTGAGAATGACACTAGTTTTCTTCCAGGGAACAAAGAAAATTCTGTGAACAGCACAAAGTACTTTTTGTGAATTTTAATAGGATGCCATTTACATTGACCCTGTTTTCCATCATGCCTCCTGCCATTGTCAGTACATGGGTATCAAAGGAATTCTTTCCTTGGGGTTTCAAATAGGAGCATTTTTATGGCTTGTCAGTGTGACCTCAACTTTTCTTCTTCAACTTTTCCCAGTACTAGCAGAAAGGAAAATATGAAAGACCAAACTCCAGCAAGCATTGCATTTGAGTACTTTTGTAAAGAAAAAAAATCAAAACAAAAGCATAAATATATATATTTGGAATAGAAGTATTATAGAAGGCTATCTCAGAATGAGATTCTCTAACTTACACCCGAAACAGAGAAGAATGTGCGCTATATTTATTTTCTTCTTCTTCCTTGATTTCTATTTTAAAATAACTATTGAAGTGCCCAGGTTATGTCATGTGGTCGTGTTCTTCAGCTCAAATGTAGAGAATCAGAAAAACAAGATAATCAAAAAGTATCATTTTGGAAACATAGACTAGGGAAGATTCTTGCACACTGAATCTGTAAAGGCATCAGTGTGTTCTCCCTAGCAGACTATGCAAGCCCCAAAGAAAATGAGGGAGTTAAAAAAAAGGCAGATCCAATTTGTGAGGAAAACCATTGTACAACTAAATATTCATTTTAGTTATGTTTCTTAGGATAAATGTTAGCATCATTGATGTGCATTCCACTTTCTTTTTTTTTTTATATATAGTCATTCTACAATTAATTTGGATAGTGAGCATCTTTGTTTACATGCATCATACATTTCCAAGCTTAAAATTGGTTTCATCAGCATAACCAGTATGGTGCTGTTATTTATTGCTGTTTATATGTGTAGTTATGTCTAATTTTATAATTAGTTGCAATGGAGAAAAAAAAAACATAAAATATATAAAAATGGTTTATACAAAAGTTTAATTTAGCTCTTTTTTAAAAAATTGAGTTGTTAGGTAGTAGAGAAAATGGCTGGAGGAAGGAATGGCCCTCTAGGGAGATTTGCACTTTCTATATGTACCTTTGTACTATGCACTGCCCTATTGATTCTACACCCAATAATGTTACAACTTGAACCCATCTGCAAGAAACTGCTTCTAAAATCCACTTATGTGTATCTAAAAGACACAGAACATGTAAAAAGGAAAAAAAAAATGCAACTGCTTTTTTTCCTTTTATTCTCTCCTTTTTTTCTTTAGTTTTATTAGGTTTTTTCTTTTTTCTTTCTTTTTTTCTCTTTTTTTTTTTTTTTTGTGTGTGTGTGTGTATGCCCTGATACTCCACAGATATCAGAAGGCTGCAGGTCTCATCATAACCATCTGTTACGTGGCTTTGCCATTCAAGCTTGGAGTGTCTTTACAAAGATAATAAAAAAATTGTGTTCTTTGCTCTTGTTTTGGATGCATAGACTAAAAGAAATTTAAAAATTACCTTGTAAAATGGCTTGTTAAAAAAGATACAATTACCTCTAATTAGTAGTACGCGTAAATGTTTTACAGAATGAAAGGCGTGCTTTTTATTTTCTTACTTCGTTACATTGGTGGCGAAAGAAAGTCTGTATGAAAATCAGTTCTTTGCTGACACAAGTTCCATTTGTTACAAATGAATTCTAATAAAATGTCAGTGTTATGCAGCCCTGGTCTTCTTTCTTAAGCAGTATTTTTGAAATCAAAACTTGTTTGGTTCCTCTTGATGATAAAAGAGTTTAATTGGAGCTACAAAGCAGTCATTAATCTTCTGAACTATCAGCTGGACAGTGGAAAATGCATTCTTAGTTTATCAAATGTATATCGTTTTCAGCAGGAAATTTTGGGCCAGCATGCACAAACTCTTTGTCATAAGTTCCCATAGCTTCATATGAATTTAACTGAAATTGTCACACTTTAGATGCCTCAGGAGTTCCCTCTTGTTCTTTAGAAATGTATCATTAATTCTGTCCATTTATAGGTGCAATCCAAAGAGGACAAAGTATCTACACATTTGGGGCAAATTGTGAGTTTTTCAGTCCCGTAGAGTTGGCAGGTTCTGGAGTAAATCCTAAGTCACTGGTCAGAATTCAGCTACTGAAATAGTGGCAAGCAGTCATGACAGATTTTTGAATGATGTCTGCTGTGCACTCCATGTGCAGCAAGTGCAAACATGGGTCTGTGAAGCTGCTGTCCAAATACTGTGCAAGTGTTTTCAAACACTGAAAAAGTTTCAGGTGAACATGCTGAGTGTATTGAGGCAAGTTACAAGGGGCATGTCATGGCAACCTATAGTCAAGGAAACCATAAAAGAGTCTTACTCTGCTTGTTTTGAAAGAGAGCAGGTTCTGTTTCCAGGATTGCTTTTCAGTAAGGGAACACGATCTATTAGGGATTAGTATTAAGTACGTGGTAATAAAGAATTCTCTATGCTGCAGGATGTGAAAAGACATAAAAATTAGACTGCTAAGAACTTGCATTGTTCTTAGCCTAACTACCATAATAATGTAGTGATAATAGTGTAAATGCGAAGCCTTGGTATTCTTATTAATGTTTTTCAACTGACTTCTGGGAATTTTACAATTACTGCTTTGCAGGCTGCTTTTGACTTGAACCTTTTTTGCATAGATGGTGCAAGGTGGTATAAAGCTGTTATGTAAGGGTTTCTTTAACTATCTGAGTGGCTTTAGATGGTGCCATTTAATGTCATCATTGCCTTCTTTGAACTTACCTGTTCTGTGCATCTAGCATGAGCAAAAATAAAGCGTGAAAATTAATATTGATTTGGCTATGTACAGATTAAGACTTTTAAGTTAATCAGCTTTAACAAAACTAGCTCTAATTCAGGCTTCCTTCGCACAGAACAGAATATTTTTATGTCAACATACTTTGAGATCATCAAAGTTAAGAAATTAAAAAAATTAACCTATCTTGAGGCAAAACACAAACTACAGACTTTAAAACACAATACCCTTTGCATCTTTTATGCAAACACTTAGACCAAATTTCCAGATTCCCAGAATCTAGTTCCCAGAATCTACAGCAAGAGAGGATTTCCATACATGGTTTCTATTTTTTTCTACTACTACCCACTTTTCCCAGTCTGCATCAGCTTAGGACAAAAATGAGCTACTGGCAAAGATATAGACAAAGTATTGAAAAAAGTACTGATAAAGAATATATTGAAAGAAATTATTCACTAACCGTAGTGTCCAGAAAAGGTCAGTATCCAACACATCAGTACCCAGTGAAACGTAAAGAACATTATAGCCACCACTGGTTAAGAAAGCGACAGAAATGTGTTCACAGGAATAGGTAAATCCTTAAGTCCTTACATCTGTTTTGGATGTGAACATGCCTTTTTTTTTTATTTATTTATTTATTTTCCCAAGATCTTAACCAGCTTTATGAGCAGAATGACCTTTAATTATTTTTCACAGACTATAAAATTTTGCTGAAAATAGCCATCAATTTTGCAGATGTGTAAGCCAACCTACGAGTGATAAATGACTTCCTCTTCCATAAAACAACATGGAAAAAAAAGACCCAAATAAACAAAACTAAAAACAACTATCTTGCTTGTGGACTCTTGCTTGCTGAACTCTATGAAATCACTTTGCATTTTTAAACCTTGAAATTTAACATTTTCAGGCAATCAAATTTCAACAATAGCACTGGATCCAATTGGCCAAAACTTCCATGAAAGGTACCAAACGGTGTCAATATTACTTGCACTGTCTAAGAATATATTTAGCAGTTTCAGAAGTATAAAATACTAGTACTTTTTTCATTCTATCATTCTGCATGGGAAAATGAAACTCTGATGGTGTATGAGGATACATAGCTGTAAGAAATTCTTATTTTAAGACCTGTGGCAATTTTTTATTTTGTTTTGATTTTATTTGGGTTTCTATTTTATTGGTTTATTTTATTTATTCTATTTTATTTTGTTTTATTTTTAAGGAGGGAATATTACTTCTGTGCTACTGACTTCAACTATTTGGAAAGTTATTTGAAAGTTATTTTATTCAAAAACTGAAAGATTTGCATAATGTAGTTATAGTCAAGAGAATTTTCTCTTTACACTGTCATGCGTGTTTTAAACAAGCTGATTCTGTCCTCCAGTTCTGCTTATGAAGGGTACTGTAGTAGGGTGCAGAATATTTTTCTATTACTAATGAAATGAGTCAAGATGGGAGGAAACATCTGCCAACTAGCTTTCAGAGGAAAGCAGAATGATAACCTGCAAATGAGACATTGTAATGAATAGAGATCATTTTGCATATAGACTATAAATAGGATGCTTTTGAACCCAAAATGCATTCAGTTTGCTTCTGACAGCAGAAGTCTTTAATATTGTAGCAGGAACTAGCAAACAACCTTTCATTGTCAATAAAAGTAGTTCATTATATATTCAACAGCCTTATTGGATCTAGAATGTAAATCTTTAAAATCAAAACTGCCTGGAAATGCCTTTCCTTCTCTCATACATAAAAACAAGAGAACAGACTGTAAGATTTTCTTCATTGGAAGAAATTACTTGAAAATACATGAGGATTATTATACTTTTGGCCTTCAAAAATCCAGTTTGCTCTAGAAATCTATAAGGTTCTAAAGGATTTGAATGAGCTCAGCATTCTACACACAAGCAAGTTCTTGTCCGTTCAGCAAAAGAAAAAAAAACATCATCTAGAGGCTGTAGAACATTTCTGAGTTCATGAGGCAAATCGGTGTCATCGCCGACTCTAAAGCCAAACCAGCCAGCTAGCACTACCACTACAAGGCATTGTTCAGACACTGCGGTAATTCAAAGTAAGCACACCAAAACCTGCAAAAAATAGTGACTAATGTTGAGCACTGGGTAGTCCATTAAACATAGATCTGGCAAAACAGCAATCTTTCACTGACAGAAGACCATGTACTTCTGTTCCATACGCATAAAATGTTTAGCAAGTTAATGCAACATCCTCTCAGTGGTACACTCTTCCAAAGAATATTTTGCAAACATTTCACACATCTGTGCCTTCTGTTTGAACTCTTTTTATTCCATTTCCTCTGTAAAAGTTTTGCTATTCCCTTTTCATCAAATGCTGATAATTGTTCTTTGACTGTTTCCATTAGAGTTTAATCCCCGACTTTGTTAGAGAATTGGCTCCCAGCTTACAGTACCATGAAGAAAACTGGAATGAAAGACTATAACAAACTACTCAGTCTAGTGGGAGCAATGTATTTGGCTGCAAAATCATTCTTAGCCATCGTAGAATGAGATTGCAGTATAGATCTTACATAATGAGTAAGCAACAGTGCAGCCTTTCAGAATGATGAAGTAGAGCTTTCTCTTGGACAAAGAAGAGGAAAAACATGTACTTCTATTTAGTTCTAATACAGGTATGGGAAATAGCATTCCAAGCCATACTTTGGGGGTGGGTTGAGTTAGGTTGGTCAGGGGGTTTTGCATTTCAGGTGTTTGGTGTTTTTTTTTTTTTAAACACAATATTTGTTTTTACTGGCAATCAATACCAATAAGAAGTGTTTATTTTTGGCTGGGATGGAGTTCATTTTCTTCATAGCAGCTCATGTTTTATTCACAGCTGAGCAGTGCTTACACAGTGTCAAGGCCATTTCTTTTCCTCACTCTGCCTAACCAGCAAATAGACTGGAGTCACACAAGAACATGGGAGGGAACACAGCTGGGATAGCTGACCAAAGGGAAATCCCAGACCATATGAATTTATGCTCTACACTAAAAAGTTGGGGAAAGCAGGAGGAAGTGGAAATGCTTGGAGTTATGATGCTTGTCTTGCCAAGTAACCATTACATGTTATTCCCGACTTTCCTGGGAAGGGCTAAACGTCTGCTGATGGGAGGCAATTAATTGATTCTATATTTTGCTTTGTGCATGCAGTTTCCAATTTACCTGTTAAATTGTCTTTATCTCAACCCATTTTTCTAACTTTGACCCATCCGATTCTCTCCCCATCCCACTGAGGGGTGGAATGAGCAAATGCTTTGTGGAGCTTGGCTGCTGGTGGGGATTAACCTGCAACATTTGTTTGGTTACTGATTTTTATTATCAGATGTTACTTCCAAGGCTGGCATCATTGACAAGAAATTGCAACTGATGCTTCTGAGGGTCCAATTGCAGAAAAGCTTTTTCTGCACACTCTGTGAAGGAGCAGCAATAAGAATATAGTGATCAAGACCACAGATAACACAATGGGAAGCAATGTTACTTTCTAGAAACCTTAGATAGTAAGGTGTGAGGGATAAACAGTGCAACAAATACATAAACACTATCAACATTCATTGACTGAATATAATTTTCTACAAATTCTACAGAAAAAAAGTACAAGTCTCTGAAAACGAACCCTCGTTCTGCCCTTGTGACACTCCTACCTGGAGTACTGCGCTCAGGTCTGGGGCCCCTAATGTAAGAAGGACAAGGACCTGATGGAGCAAGTCCAGAGAAAATATTTTTTCTATTTTTAACTATTCATAGGATTTTACCTAAGTATTGTCAAATAAGTAATATATCCAACAAAAGAGAGTTGGTAAATATCTGCTATTTGGTAATTTTTCTAAGAATGTATGAAAAAAATCTGTGTAGGTTTTTTTCATCTGAATCACTTAATAGATGTACTCTTTACAAGAAATGGAAAATAGACAT